TGCTGGCCGAGGGCAGTTTTTTCCAGCCCTAGTGTTTTAGGACCCGCCGTCCTGCAGTTTTCCTCACGCTTCCCAGCTCCGGCACACCTGTTGCCTGTGAATGGATCCGCTCTTCAGCTCTTTAAGCTCTGAAGAGGGCTTTAGAGCGCCAGGTGTGTGTTAACATGACACCAGCACTGATCTCAGTAAAGCAGCCGTTGCTGCCCATCAATCCAATACGGGTAACGAGGCCTTTTCGAGTTCATCACTAGGCATTGAGAATAAGAATTTAAAATCCATATACAGTGGGGGAAATAAGTATTTGACCCCTTGCTGATTTTGCAGGTTTGCCGACTTACAAAGAATGCAACGATCTATAACTTTAATCATATGTACATTCTAACAGTGAAAGACAGAATCCCAAAGAAAATTCCAGAAAATCACATCATATGAATTTATAAAAATTGATAACCATCTGATGAGGAAAAATAAGCATTCTTTGTGAGTGGGCAAACCTGCAAAATCAGCAAGGGGTCAAATACTTATTTCCCCCACTGTACTATTGACAACCTAACTTATCCCAAAAGTCAGATCAGTTTAAGTTTGCATCTGATGATTTGCAACTTTTTGTAGCTACAGGACGCACAGTTTTCAGAACTACAGCCTCCTCTGTTCTCCTAATGTCTAATCTAATATAAATCTTTTTTACTACTTCAAGCCCTGATCAACGGCTTAGAATTAGCAGAAGTTGTACTTCTATTGTCACTTGACTGGATTAAGTTCCACGTACAAAAAATGAATACGTAATGAATGCTAGACTGACACAGACAGTTTTCATTAGCCCAATAATTCACAAGCAGCCCCCGCGGTGTTTTATGCCGGTACACGACACACAGCGGAGCAGAAGAGCGTGGCTCTGTTCTTGGCTGATTCATCATTGAGGGACCTCTCATTATTGGCCTCTACACATACGTTGTAGAACTGAATAAGGATTTGAAAGAGAAAAAAAAACACGGCTGGTTCCCATAGTCGTACAGGCTTATGTACAGTTTTTGCCCTCTTGCATGGGATTCCATGCCGAGGATGTGAAGCCCTTAAGGGGGGAGTTGTGGGTGTGACACAATGTGATTAATTTGTTTTCATTTGATTTTTCCATAATTACATATTCATGTTTAGCAAGTTTAATCACGATTAGTTAATTTGTTTTAATTTCTGTGTGGGAATATCTCCCCTGAAAGCTTTGGTCTGAAGGCAAGAATTCTCACGTGGGGACCAATGTTTTAAATTACTCACATTACAATTTGGATAAAGGTTTCTTTTTCATTGTCAGAATCACATATTAGTAGAAGATGTACCTGCTAAAGCCCCAGTCGTTTTTTGGCTACTTTAAGGCTCCTCTCATGGGACATCAAAGCGTTTTTTTTTCGTTCTGCCTCTGTCTCCTTGCTTTATTCACACGTCTTTGTTAACCCTTAACTCCTTGTCCTGGTCTAAAGGAGAATTGGAGTCAGATGAGCCTCAGTACAGCCACACTGACAGTGCGGTTAAGAAATCAGATTTTACTGGCGCACATTTGACTTTGAAAGATACAAGATAGTGATGGAACTGAAGAGAATGTTTCGAGCATCTATGCCGGTTTAACAGAGACTCGACTCACCAGGAATTTGGTTTAGGTGCAACTGAAAAGCCATCGTTCCTTGTGTGAAGAAAATGTGTCGATTGTTGTGCGTAAGCCCTAAAAACCATTAAATATGTGACCATGTAACGGCTGGAAAGGAAAACTCCCGTGCACTCTCTGGTACGACCGCAAATCACAGACTTGCAGAGAGAAAGTAGTTCCCCCTGGAGTTGAAACACTTCCTCTGTTAGACGAATCACCCCGGTCTACCAAAGCACCGGTAACAATTTCCTTATCAGCCCATCAGCCAATTACACTTGGCTTGTTTTCTCATGTTCCAAACCTTCTGACCTTTGGAGATTTCATGACGCACAATACATATGTGCTGAGGGATTTTTAATCATTTTAAAAATGTTTTTATTTATTTTTTATTTAGTCAAAAGTCAAAGAAAGACATGAGGAAAGGAAAATGGATACTCTGAAGAGAAAGCAAGATGCATAAAAAAAAAAAGGGGGGGGGGGGCGTATGCTTCACATTAATTAAGCTGGTGTTTTAGATTTGCCACATCATTAAGCAGCGTTTCAAGCTGGCTGAACACAAAGGTAGTTCTGTGGAAAGTTTGCGTGTGTGGATGCGCGTAGGTGGGCACGGAACCTAATTACCACGTCTGGTAATTACCGAAAAGGCGATCTGAAATCAATTTAGCTCCTTCCTGGGTCGATGTGAGGGTGTTTTGACTCGGAAACTATGGCTGCATAGGCGGTCGGATTTGAGGGATAATAATAATAATAATAATAATAAGGGAATAAGCCAGAAAACAGCAGATGGGGTGGAGTTTCAGAAATTCCCAAAAAGATTATTGAAGAAAAAAAAGCTTCACAGTACATTAACCTATTTCCCAAATGCAAAGATGGGAAAGATGATCCCAAAAACGAGGAACCTGAGAAGGATTAGTGAGGTTTTTGGAGGCCTGGGATTTGATGGCAGATCCTCCGCCGCCTGCAGCAAAGCAAGTCAGGGAATAAATGAAAGAGTTCTGCTGTTTATTCATTTCTCCTTTATCATCATCCTCTATCAGATGCTTTTTTTTTTACGTTGCCAAAGGGTTGTTTGAAGAGTTTGCAGAAACTTTTTTTTTTTTTATCCATACAAGAGCATCCCAGTCAAACGTAAGCGGATCGCAAACGAGCTGAAATAAGATGGTATGGGTCGTGGAAACAATGGTGTTGAAATTTGGCAGTGTCATTCAATATTGATGCTGGCCCACTCTCCAAAAATTGATTTGAGGTCTTTTTGTACTTGTGTGTCAGTACGCTAATGTGACAAGTGGCTGGGTAAGACGTGTGTCTGGTAATAAGCTCTGCAACTTTCACTGAGCTTTCACAGACCCCCCCCCCTCACGGCCTCCCTCATTTGACAGGCCCTGATGCAAGTCCTCAGCTACACGCTTCCATTGATTCGCCTCTTTCGTCTGGATCCCACAGACACCCGCAGAAGATCGTTCATTATGACTTTTCATCTTGTGAACTGACGATGCTAAAAATCCCACGAGTTCTGAACTCCGCTCGAGAGCTCAAAGGTTCTCCCAACGGTGCTGCTGGATTCCGGGTCACCCAGTGCATCTACGGCTGAAAGAAAATGGAAATCAGATGGACCACGCTTTGAATGGCTAAACCCTTGAGGCATAACCATTGGAAAATCCAATATTTGTTGGGAACAGACCTCCTCCTTGCAAATGGATTGAAAAATTATACAAATTAACCACAGAAGGCTTTAATCTTGATATTTATACTCCATTACCAACATATTTCCTAACGGTGAAAAGAAAAAAAAAAGGATTATTAATTTGGTTATTGTCATTGCCAGGGGTCCAAAGTTTAGTGAAGGATTTACCCAGAGAAATAAAGCATTATGAGTCGTAATGAAGTCAGACTTCCTCACCCTTTTTCACAAAAAACGCTTTCGTGACAGTATGTCAGTCTAACTTTTAGACTATTAACAGAAATCCATTATGCATCATTTTATGACTTTTCTTTTGCCCCCGAGTTGCAAATGACGACAGAATAAGCAATAAAACAGGTACCTAATTACAGTGCACCGTTAGTTTAGAAACTCCACGTTGCAAATTTTAAGCTCTGAAAGGGAAACCAGTCCGGCTGAAATGTGATGTGTGAAAATACGTAATAAATAGCATGCCATAGTTTTGGATCTTTCCTATTTGGTGTTGGGTCGGAATAGGGGATTAATGGCCTATCCGGGCCCCATCATCAATCTGGTGTTTTTCAGGGTGCCCTGAAGGGTGACTCATTCCAACTTCATTTTGAATACGACAAATTCTGCCTGTGGCTGCTGAGAATATCCAATCATTTCACCGGCGCTTTCCTATGGATGTGCACTTTTGAAAATCCAAAATGTTCGGGATGGTTAAACCACTGTTATCATGAAAGATGAGTTTGATTTGGGATGCGGCGCTCACTCAAAGTGATTAAACTGATTGCGATCGTTTCCAGTGGATGCCGCCGTGTTCTCCATTTCAAATCGGCCCCGGTATGATTTAGGGCTCATTGTAACCCAGACAAATGTCTTTTTGGAGCCAAAGTCAGTTTATGAATCATCACTGGGGAGCTCGAGGCAGTGGATTGTTATGACAAAACACAGTCTGTTGTGCTTTTTCCATACTTGGAATAAGTATGCCCAAGGCCACGAGAAAAATAAAGATAAAAACTGTCATAGAGTATGATGCTCTTCATTTGAAGAAATCACCTGTGAGACATCAGACTCCATGGCACTGAAATAACAGCTCACATCTATGTCCAATAAATGAGCTGGAAAATGAAAAAATGAATGCACGGTGGGATGGGATTTCTTTCCCAAACCATCCTTTACAAGCTGTGCCTGTCCCGACTCCTCAAATCACCTCCAGCTCTAAGCTGATGTGAGCTAATAGACTTACTGATGGACAGATCAGGCTTAGCACCGGCAAAGTTCTGAGAAAGGAGCCCGCAGCAGTCAGGTTAACATCAACATCATCCTTCTGCTCACCTGAACCGGCCGAGACCGGGATGAAACCGGAGAAAGACCCCAGTCACACACGGCTAATGAGGGGGAATACCCTCAAAAATAATCCCATAACATGCATCTGTCACTTCTGATGTACTTTGAAGATGTTTTTTTAATGGCGCATGTATGGTACATTAATCTGGTTTTAAGAATATTAAGAAAAGTAAAGAAGATGTCGTCTGCTCAGATCAAAGTGATCTCTGCAGTTAATCCCATATCAAGCAAATTCTTAATTGAATTAAAAAGAAAAACCTCAATCACAATAAAAATAACATTACTTTAACTGATTCTTTCGCCTTTCTGAACTGTTTAATAGTGAACAAATATGACAAAGACCACCGCTTTTGTAGACGTTTTATTTGTTTTTGTCATTTTTATTATTTTTTTTAAACAGACTTTTGTCACAACAAAGTCAGCGAGAGAGATTTATGTCCATTACATAGTAGTAAGTCATTTGAAAGCAACCAAGAGAGGACACAGTAATCATTTCATAGCATAAAAGCAGAGGCAGTTTTGACATGCAGCGAAACAGGTAGGGTGTCCAACCAAATCCAAGGCAAGGAGAATAACAACAGCCTCTGTGATCGGGTTTCCTCTCCAGCCACTATTTACCCATTCAAAACTCCTTGAGCCCATCTGTAACAAGTTTTAGAAAGTAGCTGCAACGAAAGAAGCAGTTTTGCTCTGAAAACTCACTCGAGGGGACGAAACAAATTAATTTCTAAAAGTTTTAATCCTATTATGTGCCGTTAGCATTGCTTCAAAAGGGATTCAGAAACGGATTTTAAAATGGTAACATTCAAGTCTTTCTAGTTAGCCAGCATGGTGATTGGTTAAAGAATACATAATACCGTAAATGCATTATCAATGTGAAATTATCCAACCATCATTCGATATGCGAGTGATGTGGGGCCGGGCACAAATAAAAGAAAAAAAAAAGAAAATTGACCTCGGTTTTCAAACCCGACATTCTCAAACCTTTAAAGATGGGATTTGAGGGCGTTTAGTATAGCAAACAAAACCAAAAAAAGAAAAAGAAAAAGGAAGAGGCCACACAGGATTAAAGATGTATCAGAGAAAACTATAACATTTTTTATTCTATGTAGTACAGCACAGTGCAATTACTGTTCATGAGATTAAGCCCTGCTCATACAATACTTGAAGTTGTAAAAAATATTAACACAGCATTGATCTATTACCACTTGATTTCTTTACAGTTTAAAGAGACAAAGGAAAATAAGGTGTGTGTTTAAGTGCCGAGCTTGCGTCTAGGTTAAAGAATCAGATTTCTAGTCTAAACAGTGTTTTTAGGGTTCTGGATTAACAACACTCCCCCAGAATTTGGTCCCTAAGGGAGACATAGTGAGACCTTTTCAAGAAATGGCTACAGACGGAGGCCATAGGAAGAGAGAATCCTATCCCAAAAACATGGGATGAGACTCAGTTTTTGGGATAGGATTAAAAAAAACAAAAAACGGAACAAATATTTTAGGGGAAAAAAAAAAAAGTCACCAGGCAGACAAAATGGACCTTCGACAGACAAAAGCAGTGCTAAGACAGAGGCTGATCGGGGTACAGGCGGTGAGTCCGTCTTCTGCTGGGGGGACCACTGCGTCCGGCTGGGTGGCCTTTCACCCACCCGTCCAGCCACCTTCCACACGCCTTTGCCTCACTTCAACAGAGCCTTCATGGCATCGCTTTGGGCAGCTTCACAGGCACTATTGCCATCCGGTCCTTTCCGGTCTTTGTCAGCTCCCTGTGGAGGAGGAGTGGGGGCATGAATATTAAAACGGCCTAATAGGTGCGTCCACTCCCCATCACATCTGGTCGGGGTTACAGTCTAGAGAGGGGACCCATATCTGCTGCCCTCCCCACCCTCCACCTCAATCTGGAGCCTCGGTGGCCGCTCTGGACAGGTGATCAACAACCTGAACTGGCTTGTCTATACCATTAAGTCCCCAGGTATTCTACAGGAGAGGCACAACTAAAAAGAAAAATGGGAGGGGAGGGAGGGGGGAGGATTTTTTCTTTTTCCTAACAGCCATCATGAACTCGCCTGTCAGGACAGCACATGTAAGGCAAAGACAAATCCATCTGAGCTCTGAGGGGTAACATAATATCAGTGAAAGCACATAATCATTTAGGCTACTGAGGACATAAAAGGTCACCATATATATATATTTGAAAAAGCAATAGAACGGGCAATGCGAACAACATGCTGAATGCTCTTGAAGTGGCAGATTTAATGGCTAACTGAGCAGTGAAAGGGCACGCAGAGGAGAGCCGTCCTTTTGTTCCAGCTGCCAGCACCAGCCTCTCTGCGTAGGGCTCTCAGAGAGGAGGCAGAGAGAATTTATTGTGGCGTGGGGAAGCGGGGCAACAGCGTGACCCAGTTGGAGGACCCGGCGGTGTGATGCAGTGCCGCTCGGAGAGGCCCGCTGCCCGCACACGGCGAGAGCAGCAGAGCGCCTCTTTACCGGGGCCGTGCCACCTGTCAGATCTACATCTCTAATTGGGACGGAGGAGGAAGACAAAGTTCCCCGGGACGCTTGTCAATTCACAACATGCCTCTCTTTCCTGTCACATGCAACAGCCAAAAGGATGAGAAGCCCAAAACAAACCCTATCGCAATCTGTCTTTTTACCGCTGATGTGGGAGCTCTGGTGTCAGTCCTAAAGCTTCCAAACCCATCACCGCACCAACCAACCAAAGACACATAAACACGCGGTTTGTCCAGGCCGTAAAAACTTTCCAATAACTTTATATTGCGTACCTGGAAACTAATCTTTATGTTGTCTCCTGTGTGAGTCAAAGAGAGGACAGGAAGACAGACAGAAAGCTCCATTCCACACACCCCCCCTCTCGGGAAGTCATTAGCGGCCGTTTCAAAATTACACTCTAACTGACTCGGTCAGGAAGCTGCAGCAGTGGCTCCTCGGCTTTTGCCCTTTCCCTGTCAAACACTCTTGATGCTCTCAGATCAAATAAGATGTCTGTCGGATACACACACCTGGACCCAAACAGATGACCCAAAACCAACACGACCGCCACGAGCACGCTCTGCCGTTCACCTGAACACGCCACTCAAAAGGCAGCTTTCCGGGGGTGCTATTACACATTTATAACACGCCTGGGACCGCCTGTCTGAATAATAAGCCGGGCTCATACCCCGGTAAACCTATTCCACAACACGCATGACACCCAGCTCGGCCACACACACTCATGACACCACTTACAATAATGAGCTTTCCTCCAGTTGAATAACGACCTAACCTGAAGGCCTCGCTGTCCAAACATTATCCAGTCAGAGAGAAGCTAGGGGCCATGTGAGACACGGCCTAATGAGTAAGAACAGGTTTCCAGGGTGTGCACAGTCAACAGAGACTGCATTACGGGGCCACACACAGCAGCGCGGGCTCAGGAGCGCGCCATGGCCGACAGTCCATGAAGTTTTCATTAGGCCAACACCGAGTGGGACCTCAAAGGTCTCAAGTATATCTTCAAATACAGTCTGAGGGCTTCGGGCACATGGATTATTAGCTTTGAACAGCAGGCATTAAAACGGAGAAGATCGATATCTGCAGTGGTGTGTCAGATGGGCTCCGGATCAAACAGTTTAGAACTCGGGCCAAGCCCCACACGCCCAGCGGTTAAATGAATGAATGAGTACATTAGGAAATAACCCAGCGTGCAGTCGGGGCAGAGATTACACTGATGAGAGCTTTTATGGCCCCGTTTTGAGGGTAATTGTTGTTTGCAGGGGCGCCGCCCTTCTCTATTCAGTCATCTCATAAGTGTTAGCCGCAGTTGCTGCGTGCTCTGCTGAGGGGAGTCGCTGCATCGTGAGCTGTGGTATTAGCACCACGTTTAGGAGTTCCTCTTAGAGAGAGAGAGAGATAAAAAGAGATGCGTTTAATCACAAGTGCGCATTCCCATGATGTATCAGGAAACCGAATGCTCTTGGCCTGCCCACACAGTCATCTCTATCCGGCTTTGTCAGTGGGCTCCTTTTTGGGGAGGACGCAGAGCTGACTAACTGTTCGTCTCATCCTAACACGCAGGGATGAGTTTTTAGAGCCGACAGAGGTAGATATGTGGAATATTGATCTCTGTGGCGACCGCTGACCTTTCAGCTTCGTCTGGGTGGTAATCCTGGCAGGTTCCTGAGAGAAATGAGTAGAAAGAAAGCCGCTGGAGCTTATACACAGCGGGGGGCTTAACTTGCCAAAATCCCTTTTCCATTTCTTCAGTCTCTTTGGTTGAGCTAAAACAAATCTGAAGTGAAACAACTGTTTGAGGGAGTGGAAACAAACAGCTGCTCACTCACCCCTCACCCCCAAACACACAAATCAGAGCAGCGTTTGACTGAAGCTTTCTGGATGACGTCATTCGGACTTCCACCGCGACGTCTCCGCTCACACAAGGAAGCAAAGCTCGTGCCATCAACTGACCTTCACACCATAGATTAAAGATATTTATGTTCCATTTGGCCTGCCAGGGCCCAGTTCAGATTTACTGCATGTGTGTCAACGCGAGCTAATATTTTACTATTAACTATTTTAATTGATATATCCCACTCAAGCATGGTGGAAGTACATAAACCTGTTTTTCTTTGGCTGGATAATGATGGGCAGATTGGACATTTATCATTGTGTGCTTTTTATTGAGTTGTTGTTAACACCTAATTCCAGCTGTGCCCAGCTCTCACAACCCAACTATGACTAGAAAATGCACGTGACCATTTCTCTTTGTACATGTCAGAATTAAAGATGGTTCTAGAGTTGAATGCCCGAGGGGAGGGGGGGAAGGGGGTGGAGGGGGGTGCTGTGGTGGATGGAGCAGGAATTTAGATGGCCTGTGCACTTATGAATGATACAGTTAGACAAAAAGAAGTGAAAAGCAGCAATCCTGGGTCCCGCCCCGCGAACATTCCAGCACAGCCTCCGCGGGACTCTATTAAAGGGCCTTTTGTCCTTTGAGTTACCTCATCAGCACTCAGAAGTGGACACATCAACAAACCCCAGCAGAAGTCTGTGAGCGAGCTATGGTACTAACCTTTTCTAGCAGGATCTTCACACATGGGAGGTGACCCTCATAACAGGCGGAGAGCAGTGGAGTTATTCCGTGCTTGTCTTCGGCCTGCGGAGGTATGAGAGGGGCGTGAAGCTTTCCTCCCAAAATCAGGAGGTGACAGGTAGAGGCCAAACACATTATAGCCAGGTTTCATTGTAAAATAAATATTGAAAAAAAAAGACTTAAAGACTCATCGTGCATATTGTTTTTAAAGCTTAGTTGCTTATCAGGAATAATGAGAATTCCAACTATTTTGGCGGTTTTGGGATCCAAACAAAAACAAGATAACTTTAAATCCATGATTGAATACAGGAGCAGTGGATAACATTGTGGTGATTTGTGGAATCTAATCTTAGCCGACACTGATGCGCCACCAGAAACACACGGCATCATTTTTATAGCCACAGCAACTCGGACAGTAAGCAAATTAATGCAAAAGAGTGAGTAACGTCTCTTACATTGACATCGGCGCCCTTAGAAATAAGGAACTCCATCACATCCGTTTGGCCAAAGTCTGCTGCATAATGAAGAGGCTTTCTCCCACCTTCTAGAGTCCGGTTCACATCTTCAGCCTGAAAAAGAGAAACACGCACATGCACAGGTTCAACTATGGGAAAACTTTGAACCCTCACAAGCCAACCAGAGATTCATGGGTGGGATCTGAGGTCACAGTATAGCTTAGCTGCCCCAAGCTCATGCACAAACTGCTCTTCTCCATTTTCTTTTAATTATGTCGTCCCTCGGACTCAACTGACAACTTGTTGCTTCCCACTCTGCATTGTTTCCGACCCTGCTAACCACACACAGCTGAGTGCCAGGTGGCTTTCCTCTGACCATACCTGATGAAGGGCAAATCAGTCACAGCTGTGGCTGTCAGTTACAGCTCCCACCTATACTGTGAATGGTTCCCTTGTTGTCTGCATCTAGATTAATGTAAATGGGGTGAAAAGCACCTATCGGCTGGTCTTATTAAGCCCGGTTCTTCACAGGAAAAACAATGCAAGCAGAGGCACGGGAGGGTTGATTTCAATTTAGTTGTATTACACTTTCTTTTTAAAACACACAAGTACAGAATGGCAGAGCTAACCATGTTCCCTTGTTATCCAAAGGAAGCTAAGAGCAAATATAATGATGGCATGGCAATTCAAAGGAGGGAATGAGCCTATCATAAAGATAATAGATAAATAATTGTACTTAACAGTACAATGTGGGCCCCACTTCTGGCCAAATAAAAACTGATTCACTTTCATTTCTGAGACAAGAGTTAAATGAATGCCAAATTCTTTCCTCATGACTTTTTTAAAGATATAATTTGATCTAAATTATCCATAAATCAGATTTATCAATTTAAAGTGGATGGAAAAAGAAAATGGATTGAAATTTTTCTTTTTTTTTTTCTATCTCCACTCCTGTTCGTTGGCTAAAATAAACATAGTTTTGTGCGTAACAACCTAATTCTGACCCGTATCGGGATCCACAGTGCCCCACTGCCCCCGCTAACCTTTATCATTAACTCCACTGAAGGTCAATTTCAACATAATGAACATGATTTCTCATTTTTACCCACTCCGACTGAATTCATTAGCAATGATGGATATCAAGCTTCAGCCTCTTTTAACGATCTTTAAATGTTACTTTCCACTGACTGGTTCTTGCTTTATAGTACTTGTATAGTTTTATTAATAATAAAACAAACTTAAGACTGACTTTTGGCCTGAATTAAATTGCTTTAGTCACAACTTAAAAATAAAAATCACAATTGCTTGCAACTATATCTTATACATGTGGAGTTAAAAAAAAAAATGTATGCACATGTCAGGGAACACAAATTTTCCCAATCAAAGAGAAAACAGTCTGTATCATCTAACCACTTGAATAACTTGCACAATGTCTGGCTGTTCGGGAAAGTGTTTCAATATAGCAATGGATTATTTGGAATCATCTGCAACTTTCCAACTGAGGTTGCAGAACTTTCAACATGTTTGTATTGACATCTGACCAAACGCTGTACTCAGTCTGGAACTATTCCATCCATCATCTTCAACTGGCTGTAAACACAGTGAGATTTCTCTAACACAACTTCTGGATCCTGTCCTTTGCCCAGCATACATTCATACAACACACCCAGGACTACTAAGTATGTAATATAAAATAATAAACTATGTTCATAACACATCCCACAGATATTTTCACTCAATTTTAATTGTTTGGAGTAGTCTGCATAGAAAACACTGACAAACTACGGCAAACAAAGTTAGAGTAGATATATTTTTACAAATACAGCCTTCAGCTTCAGTGAACGTTTACTGTCCTTCAGCTGAGAATCAAACAATCCTTGTAAGGGAAAACAGAAAAACATTAGCTCTGCATGAAGGTGATGAGTTAGCCACCAAAATGACGTAGGGTACTGGATTTAGCGGAAGGACCCCCATCTCCATGGAGACATTTTAGACGAGACCCCCGCCCACCGACGTCGGCTAGCTACGCAATGCTAGCTCGCTGGGCCCATCTCATCTTTTAGCTCACTAGCTGCTAACTAAACATGACCAACCGCATATTAACTAACCCTTTTACCCGAAATAAAAGTTATTCTCCAATAACCCAACTTATTGTATGCAGTCGACTCTTTTGTCGGTTCCGAAATGACATTAAAAACGGGTGTTATACGCCTGAGCTAAACATCTTAACGACAGGTTCCTTTCAGCACAGGGTGGTTCTGGTAGGATATGTCGAAAAGGGCATTCAAAGCTAAATTTTCTTTATCAAGCTACACGCTCGAATAAGAAGTAATCATAACTGAAAACACGAGCTCAAGACAGATTATTAAACAATAGCCCACTGCCCGTTCACCATGTCATCGTAACATGGCATGTCGCTAACTATGCTAACTAAAGCTTGTGAGACTATCCATTATGCCTGCACTTAAAGTGGCCAAATTCGAGTCAAATTCAATTATTACAATTAAGTCAGAGTTTACCCAGAAAGCCCCAAATAGTTTCCTAACTCCATATTACCCAATACCTTACCCAATACCAGCAAATGTTGGCTAGTTAGCATGTCTAATAACAAGCTATCATTACCTTAGCAAAACTGCCACCTGTCAGAATATTCTGGCGTACAACTCAGTGAATAGCCAGTAATAAGAAGAGACGTCTTACCGTTACAAGTTTAGTTTTGATTTCATCCATGTCCCCAGTCTTCAATGCCCACATGAGTTCTTTATCTGCCATCTTCCCGTGTTTGCACCTTCCCTGTTATGCTGCAGGGCAGTTGACAAGTTAAATGCTAGCGCGGTCAAAGTTAGCTATCGAGAAAACTCTTCTACTCGTCAATGCGAATCTGCTCGTTGAGCTCCAGTAAGTATGAAGCCGAATTAATTCACAAGATATCAGCTTTTGTTAGATTTAGCAACCCGTCAACAAAAAACAAGCACAAACTGATTAAACAGAAGTTCTGAGAGACAAAGTGGCCAAAGGGATCCGCCTTTCTGCACACCAGAAATTTTTTCGTTACCTTTCCGCTACCTTTACCCGGAAGTGAATGTTACATGGGAAGTTTGATGTTGCTTTTCGGAACTGAAATTAGACGGAAATTTTCATAATTTTCTTTATTAATAACACAGGTGTCCATATTTACACTAATAGTTAGATTAGCGTTCTAACCCCCAGAATATTATTTAGACTCCATAAACAAAAGTAGTTGCAAATATATAATTCATTCCTTGGTGTTTCAATTCGACAGTATAATGTTAAATTGGACCGAGGACACGTAAGTGGATCGTGTGTCCTTTTCTGTCCACATTTATACTTATACTTATACAGCTTAGGGCAAAATACATTGGTTAGATACATTTTTCTCACTTTCAAATACTTCAAAATCTAATCAAAAACATCAATGGGAAATTCTGTTCAAGCAACTTTACTTATAATAGAAATGATCTTGAAGTGATACTTCAAAAACATAACCAAGTAGTCTCAATGCAAAAGTCTGCATAATTAGATAAAGAAAACATAACTCATATCAAAACCAGACTGACTCTATCTTCAACCGTTATAGCCAGACCACAGTTTCATGTGTCTTTAAATAGCTCTGAACACATGCCAGACCTTGTCACACACTTCCTTTCTTTCTACATTGCAGTTGTCCTGTTTTATATACTGGTATTTATTCTGAGGTTGTCACAAAATTATGTTTTATAAGATAATAGAAAGTTAATATTTAAAAATAACTTTACTAGTAGTTTGTTACTCTAAAACATGTTATCAAGTTACAAAAGCCAGTGCCATAATAAATCCCCACATCAAGTTTTCCACTTCAGTCTATCTTGAATAAGCTTAGGTTCAACATGGGAGCAGTATTTCTAGAAGTAAGATTTTATTTTTTTGCATCATAGTTTTAACACATTGATAAACAATTTTCAATAAGAGTGATTTTCATCTGAGATTATGAAGATGGTGGAGTGAATTCTATCTCATGGTCATGTCTGTTTTTTATTCAGCTATGTGAGAACTAAGGGATCATAGCCAGTCAATACTGTTTTTCAGCCTTGTCCTTTGAGCAACTCTTTGATTTTGCTGGATGTATGATCTATTTCATAAATGGCTGGTGATGAAATCCCCCAGTCATTTGCAATATTGTATGAAAACTTTTAGAATAAGTTAGCTAGCAGAGAACTGTGTCTGCACGCCACCTTAAGCAATAGCGAGTCTCCAGCATTTCTTGACTGATAAGTCGTGTCTTTTTAAATCAAAGTAACAGCCTGAACTGTGTGCTTCTCTTCGTTGTCTTGTTAGCTTTGATCCAGAAAACACACACGTAAAAGTGAGGAGAGATGAAGTGAGACTAAATGTTAAATTGTGAAGATTGTCCAGTGCGGCCACGGTGATTATTTTTCATTTTTATTTATGGCTTTGTCCTCTTTGCTGTGAAATTGGTGGTTGTCGGCCATTCCTGGGTAGATCGAGCTCGAGCTTGCTTGCAACCTGTTGGCATTCAATCAATGTGTAGAGTCATTTCTGAAGCCTGTCCGGTTAGCTTTACACAAGACTGCACATTTGTGCACTGTGGCCTTTTCAAATAAAGATTGATTAAACTTGTACAAGGTTTAAAATTTAAGTTAATTTTTGTTAGATTTTAAATCATAGGAGTGAAAATAATTCTTTTTAAGTCTTTTAAAAAAATTTGTACAATTATTTAATTTCAAGATCTATTACCTGGTCTACTATTTCTGAATAAATCTATGGTTAAATCAATCATTGCTGTCTGCTTATTTCACAATGTACACGGCGCCCTGAATTATATTTAATGGGGCCAGAAGAAAAATAGTCAAATGTCAATAAGATGACCTTGGTGTCAGTAATGGCTTCTAAACACTTGGCAATGATCAAACATATGAACACGTGTGGTTGAGAGAAAAAAAAGACAACGACTCTTATGGCTGATGATGTGGACTGTGTGTCGTAGTTTTCAAGGCACGAGTAGAACAAGAGCATTGAATACAGCACATGATGGGGGTAATCACCATCATAGCCAGATGCAATTTTACAAACTGTTCAATCGGTCTCTGATAAATCATCTGCAGAAAGCACTGAACCAAGAGGAAGATGGAGAGACAATCATTACTTAATGTTGACATGTGAAAGATCAGAGGCAGAGCTACAAGTTTAAAGGTACACAACTTATTTATTTTATTTTACTATATTGTCACTAAAGTCTCTGTTTCCTGCTTCAGGGGCTCTCAAATGTTCCTATTTGACCTTATATAGTTTCCCTTTATGACACCTCTCCACCGAGATGCCTCTCCACCCGTTCACGTGTTTACATGTTACAGGCGGAGCTGCTAGAATATTGGAACTAATAATCTTGTATGTAATTGTAAAAAAGCTTCCTGCTTGTAAATGTTGTACATTTTACGGCCAAATGCTTGTTAGAGCAAAGGTGATCACTGTCGAGGTTTACCCTGCCTGCTATGCTAATGTGACATATATGACTGTACAACAGCATGGGTCACTACAGGTTCATATGAAGCTTAAATCAAATTCTGTCAGCTGCAACGCTCAATATATATATTCTATAAAAAGAGCATTTGCATTCCATGGCTTATCCCCAAACCCACATCTGAGGATACAAAACAGGCAAATAATTTTTTTTACAAGATTGCATAAGGTGTACCTTTTGATGAGTAGTAAAGCTTTGAGATTAGATTTTTTAGCATTTGATAGCAAATATTTAAAAATGTGTAGCTGTTTTCATGGCAAAGGTGAACCCCTGTTGTGTGAGGCACCTGCACAATAGCCTTTTAGCGCATATCAGCACGAGAGGAATTTTCCACCTGACAGGAATTTTCGAGTGATTGCATCCAGTATGACAGCTTAATTTTTCAAGCTATTAGCAGTTACCCAGGTAGCAGAACGGTGCTAATCAACTCTGTGTATATTGAAGACCAGAAAGGGGCTCCTCTGAAATGTTTTTTCTCCTCCTGAGCCATTCAAACCATCACTTTGGTTTAATCCAACTATTTCTGTATTACTCTCACTTGTCTTTGTCGTGGGCGAATGTAATGTGACATGTGAAACCTGCTCAGGCTGTAAAATAAAAACAAGAAAAAAACAAAGTAGCATTATTCTACAGCCTCAGCACAATTATGAGAGCTGCCTAAATGTCACGTCTGTCTGTTGGCAAAATCAGAACACGCCTAGCTGCCAGCTTCATCAAGATTGTCAGTACATTAAAACTTGAAGAAATTCCTTGCTTAAAAAACTGTTACCACAAACTTTTCTTTTTAGCTTTATTTTAACTTATAGATCTGTGTGACAAGAAGCTTTGAAATGGGTGTTACATTCTCAAAAGAATGAGAGGTATAAATAAATTAGCTGTTCTCACAGGAGATGGAGTATGGAGACACGCAATAGGCTTTCTAAGGGAGGAAGACTGACAGTAATGACAACTAATCCTGAGGGACAGAGCCTTCCAAACAAAAATTGTTGTAAAGAAAGCGCTGTGGAACCTGTAAGATGAGGGAGACATAATTAACTTTCATAGTGTACAATCATCCCTGTGTCTTCTCAGCACACGAGTGTTCAAACACTGGGGCTAGACAATATGAGGTAATGACATAATGCAGTTTAAAAGCAGGTTTTGGTGTGGAATAGAGACTACAACTTCCGGGATATGAATTTTTTTAAAATGAAAACACATTTTTAGTTCAAAATTGAAGTAAGAATTGGTTACAGTGTGAAGTCCGGTTCCTGTTACTCTCAGAAAGTTCTGAAAGCAGCCCTGAACGGTCAGTTCACTGTTTTTTTTACATTTCTTAATCAAACACTTCTTGGAAGTCCTGATCACTCTTCAAAGTCATCTCTCCAACAGTTTAGGTGTGATGATTTTGCTAATAAATCAAAAGATCTCTCTTGAGGTTACAATGTAGAGCAATTACTGACATCAGGTGGTGAAGCTGGAGACAGCAACATGACAGCAGGTCACCCCTGCGATTTAGCATCAAACTGCATCCATACCAGCAGAATAAACAAGATGTCGATTAGAAACCCACTCCTCAGTGATTTTTATCTATCAAGTCACACCAGGATTTATTCCTGTTTTCTCCCTTCACCTATTATAGGGTAAAATGTTGCTCTATACTCAACATACCAGAAGGGACTGTGCAGTCTGGTCCTGGTGGACATGCAGAAAACCCTTCAGTAATGTCATCGCCGTAACATTCATGTTGCAGCCGAGATTTAATGCAAAAGCACCATCGCAGAGTGAGGGACCAAAGCAGCTTCTCTTTTCTGCAGTGACACCGCTCGCGTGATTGATTCATACCTTCAACCTCTCAATCACAGCTGCTCTGTTGTTCTCAGATATTGCATACGGAGCTAATTTGGTTTCTAAACCGGGAATGTATTTCGAAACAGAAGAGTGGCATCATCTGGTTTTGCAACTTCAGGATTTGAAAAGTTTTGATGAATTTATCGAGCCGAATAAAAAAAAAACGGAACAAAACATTAAAAAAACACTGGAGAATAAATCGAAACGCGTAACTGTGGGAGAGTATGTGAGCAGGAGGAAACCACAGTAAATAATATTTTTCCATCCGATAGACCTTTAGGCCGTAGAGAATAATCTCAAGAGAAATTAAATCCCTGCCAATGCCTGTAATGCACCTATAAAGAAATAGTGAGTCAATGGACAGAGACTCTAAATGGTAGATAACATTCTCACTGTAGACATATTACTCAACACTTGTGAAACTATCTGCGCATAAAAAGCAACACTCAGTTCTGTCACAGCTTTTCCTGCTAAAGGCAGCACAGGAGGAGCTGCTAAATGATGACATAGCTTACCTGGGGCCTTAAGACACAGACAAACCTCCGGGTCAAATTTTCAGAACAACTTCAGCGCGTAAGTCTTTAAATGTTTTTTTTAGTCTGATGCATCTAAAGCATCAAATTGGTCTCAGGAAGTCTTCTGGTTTCTATGGCCACTAATGTGGTGCTTCCTTTAGTTCCATGCATCTCCCCCCTGGAAGTCAGACCG